ACTAATAGAATGCAGGAGCTCGCAAGATGGAGAATATACAAATATAATATAAGTGTAAGACTCAAGCGGGACAGCACAATGAGGGGTCATATATAAATCATACATACATACATTTACAATAAGTTTCCAATGACAGATATTGAGACCAGGACTGCAATAAACTTAACTAAATATAACCTTCAGATTTCCCAGTTCCCACAGACAGGTAGGCGCAGTGCATAGATCAAGGAATGTCACGCGTCAAACTATGACTTAAATAGTCGTGATAGTTCATAGGCCTTTGGTATTTGTTCACTGACTGTGATGACTTCATCATTTTATCTCAGACTGATTGTCTTTGTGAAAATATGAAGTCGGATTCATACTTATTTTGTAAATGCGAAAGTGACTCTGTCTATCTGTCTGTTTGTTACGTTTTTACATCTAAACCGCTGAACAAATGTTGAAGAATTCTGATAAAGAGATAGAAGGAAACATATTTTTTGTCGCGAAAATTAATTTTTTTTTTATAATTTTGGTACTTTAGTCTTTGATTTCGGTCATGAAAGAATTTAATCAAGCAACTTTTTAAGCATATTCTTTTGGATAGCTCTTTTGTAGCGTTCTCGTCAAAATTAGCCAAACTTGGAGTTTAAATTGACTGATGAAAAGCCATTTAGAACTATACAGTACCTAACTACCTATAAAGCTTTTTCTCTTTTTGTGTATTTTTAATTGACCTCGAACATATTAAATGATTTATTATTTTTTTATGCAGATGGTTGTAATTTTAATGTCAATAAAAATAGTCTATGGTATATTTATCAAATATCCGGAACAAAGTACAAATGCTTATGTTATACGTGTTACGTTATGTATTGTTAATGGAACTAAATATTATTATTTTTATTCTACTAGCGACTCACCCTCGCTTTGCTCGGGTTGGGTACGTTTTAATGGTTAGCTTGGAATGGACAGACTGATAATATATTATATGATATATAGCATACAGCTTTCCCCAATAAACGGGCTATCTAATGCAAAAATATTTATTCAAATCGAATTAGAAGTTCCTAAGATTAGCGTGTTGAAACAAACAAATAAACAAACATAAACCAAAAAAACAAACTGCCTCTTTATAATATTAGTATAGATAATAAGAGCATAGTAGTATGTCTAGAATTTTTCTCTGCAAAGTGGATCTTGTTCCATAATAAGATTAATGATTTGTTTTCTCACAATCATTTGCACGCCCTTTTTAAGGTAGACAAATGTTTCGTCTCGATCTCAATTCATCTAGAATAGATCAATCTTGGCAGCGTCTTGTGATTACTTCGACTTAATGCTGGAGAGAGGCACCTGTAGAGTGACCTGTTGCTTTATTTTTGAGGCAATTTTTCTATTTTCATATAGTTTTGAGAATTTTGTTATAAGTAATTTATATTTAAAAAAAAAACAAATTTGTCCCATTTTTTTGTGTGAATGATACGTAAAATCATAATTTAGTGTACATAGTATATCAAATACAAACATACATGCATGTGAAGATAAAAAAATACCTTTGCAGTTACAGTCATTATTAGTAGTTAGTACATTAAAATTCTGTACGCTTAGACATAAGACGAGACAATATTTAAAAATAATATACCTAAGCTTACACTAACACGTGGTCAAATAAAAAAAAATATATATATTGACCACATGATAGTCTAGATATCTATAAATCCCATATTATTTTTAGTTTTCTATTAATGATATAGATTGTAGAAGGTAAATCTATGGGAGCAGTATATAGTATAAGTTTCAAAGCTACAAAAGAAAACGGATAGAAAAGTTAAATCGAGAACAATTTACACTACTTTAAAGTATATCTAAACAACAGATTCTGAACATCGCGTGAAGATAGACAACGAGTTACTTCCTTATGTATATTATCACAAATAGTACCTGCATACCGCGTATATTCACAAAGCTGTCCGAGCAATTTATTATGCCCGTACACGTCATGTCGCTTCACCGAGCCTTACAGTTAACTGGTCTCAAACTTAGCTATCTATATAGATTTGTTTAAGGATATTTATAAGTGACCATATGGTACTATCCTAACGTGTCCTCTCTAGAATGATGTAGTCAGAGTTCGATTCTCGTAGATTCATTATAGCTACACATATGTATAAAACTTCAGCAAATATTTTTACACTTTTTTACAGATTAATTATAATTCGATTTCTTGTCTATATTTGCATATAATTACAACACAAAAATACGTTGTCTTATTGCTATTTAAAATTTAATAAACTATGTAGCATTATTAGAAACATGAGAGATAATGTCTAGAGCATCTGAACGGACTGTAAGATTTTTTTTACAAATTACTGACAAAAAGCTCTTTTAGGGACGCACCATCCAAATACTGCCACGTATATTAACTAGTTTTTACATATAAATTAAGCTTTGTAGCTCCCAAGCTTACTTCTTTTGCACAATTTTTGCAATCTACCCGCTATCGGATGCGATAGCATTACCCCACTAATAAGTGCAAGTAATGAAATCGAACGATTACGCCGATCTCGATTTATGGTCGGTGAGCTGTTCGAACCTCGGTTGCGCGTACGCATCGATAAAGCGCCATTATCTCTAAAAGCTTGAGGCACACTAAGTTTACGTTCATAATTTTTAAGCTTACCCTACATTATCTTTCGAAGATATGCTATTTCGTCCTAAGAGAACATAAAAGTTGTTTTAAATTAATTTCGTTCACTATAAGATAAAATTTTTAATCATTGGTTTCTAAAGTTCTAGCTAATGCTTGACACAAGATACTACTTTGTATATGATATGCGTGAGCTTCAAATAATTTTTCAATAGTAAATATAAAATATATCTATACAAATATGGCAAACTCGATACAATGATGATGAATGTAAGAATCATTGCAAAGCAATATCCCCTCACCGTGGCCCCACTGTGCCCCCGGCCTGCACGTGTACGATCACACTTCGTCCATTACCTACGGATATGGCGCATCTTATCGTTAATTATAGCTAACTCGTTTACCGATTACCGTGATTTACCGCTGCGTGTAGCCGGACTATAATTTCACATCAATCACCCATAAAACTTACATTTTAGTAAAATTATAAATATATTTTTTAAGTATTTTCAATGTTTTTCGCTATTACATATCATAATTTGACTACACGTTTGGCTCAGTTTGTAGTGACCCTACTTGCTGTGCCAGCAGTCGCGGGTTCGAGTCCCGCTGTGGGCATTCATTTGTGTGATGAGCACGAATGTTTGTACTTCATTCATGGAAATTTATATATATTTTATCTATACATACAAAAAATTCTAACTAAGCCGAATCTGTACATTAAATATTTTTTGGAAAATATTATTAAAATAGGCATTATTATTGATACAGAGGCCGAATCTATAGTTTTTAGACTTTTTGTCTGTCTGTCTGTCTATCTATCTGGGAACACTAAGCAGTTTTTGATGAAATTTGGTATGGTGATAGCTGATTATCCGGGTCAATGTATGTATAGGATACTTTTTACTACTGGAAAATATCTCATCCATGAGAAATCTATACTAAACTTTAAAACTTAACTGGAGACAAACCCGAGCGAGGGTGAGTCACTACTTTAAAAATAAAAAAATATTCAAGTAATCTAACTTACTTATCTAAAAATGCATGTTGTTACCAAGTGTACCTACCTACGATTTTAAAAACCGCGACTGTGTAAGTTTTGAGATTGTATCAACAAGTATTGTTTCTAGCTCGACATGAGCTGGGTACTACAGCTTGTCGCGCTTATCATTAATTACTCTTTAACTATAGGTTATTTACCGCTTCGGCATTTAAGTATTAATTTTAAAGGCACCTTTAGTGCTTAACGGCTACTTGAGAATTTATCGATCCGCATGAGGAAATAGTATTGATTTCTAAGAACTAACTAATAAATTCTTTAGAAAATGTGGCATGTGAGGAATGTCATTACGTAACGAGTGTTAGCTGAAACGAAACAAACAAACAAAAAGTATATAGATTTTTTTTATATCTTAAAAAGTAAAACCATATTACACTCATAGGCACAATTAACTGCCCAATTATATCTTTTGTCACCCTGTTTGTTTGCATTATATACATATACAGCTTAAATTTAAAGCCATTGACAAAAAATGAGCTTTTTATTTAATTGAACAAATATAATTAGACAACAAAAAATTTGAAAAAAAACGATTTCGTGGAAGAAAATATTATTTAAAAAATATTTTTTTTGGAAATATTATCATTTGTTTTTATTTAACAAAGATTGTTTTCGACATACATCTAATTTATGCAAAAATTGTCAATTTCGGCAAAGTATAGGAATTATAGGGTGGGTGTTTAATGGTGTCTGTGAGCCTAGATTGAGAGAAATAGATTAACTAAGAAACATGTTGTTGAACTTGTTGATGCTAACATTTTCTTCAATAAGATTGACAATTAGATGATTAAAACGATTAGTAGGTCTATTCTGTAAGAAATTTTAGGTAACTCGATAGCTGAATTCGACGTCATAATTCATACGTACATACATATGTATGTAAAAAAAATGAAAACTGTATTGAAATGACAATTTTAATCTGTATCTCATTCAAGTATAATACGTTATTTACGTATTTTCGTTAAGATTTCTATTCTTCAACGATTGTACGTGACATCTTGGCTAAGTCCCCCGAAAAGCTAGAAAAGCAGAATCGGCGGTAACTGCTAGTGCATCCAGTCGCGATCATCAAACGACACAATGATTCGATGTAAAACAAAGCTCTGCCGAAGATTTATTTTAATGAAATGCCCGATTGCTTTTAGATTACTATTGAATTCAGTTATGTCAGATAAAAGGGTAATGACCCCTTATTATCGTTTTCTAAACGTTATACTAAAATTTAAGATACTAGGAAATGAAAAACAATATAGATTAGATACACCACATTGGTTTTCAAAGTTTGAAATCTAGGAAATAGGAATATTATCGTTTTACTAGCTTTTGCGTGTGGCTTTGCTCGCGCCAAGTTTGATTTTTAACCTCCTTACACTCCCTGAAGGGGTTGTTGTTGTTTGGTTGTTTGTGTATTACAAAACTTTCCTTTTGCGCTTTATTTTCTATTGAAGTAGATCATAATACTATAGCATCGATCGAGGATCCTTAAGAGCGAAGCAGTTATAACTACGTGAGTGAAGTTGCGATTGAAGACTAGTATAATACAATGTTTTTCTTTTACCAATCAATGTCACTCATGTCTTAACAATTCTATGTATGTACATGACATTGTAGAGGTAAACTATGCGAAAATGGCACGCTTAGAAGCTATAAAGAAATAATTGAATCATAATTCAACATTTATCTTATATGCAATAAGTCAAATTCGAATGGTCTTCTAACTAAGCCTTTTGAAACGTTTTAATAGTAAGGAAGTATACATACAAAGTTGCATCGAGTCAAACCAATATAAAAACGGGTGATAATAAAAAACATCACGTACTTTCTGGCCTCGCCAGCCAATACTACAATTCACAAGCTATAAAAACTTATTGCGATTCATCCAATGGAGTCCCAACTTCTTAGTAGCTAGACGACCGATAATAAATAAGTCCTCATCATTTACATTGTGTGTATGAAAGAGACACATACAAATATAAAGGAGACGACGGTATGTTTATGAGTCTCACCCACGCTGCGCCGGCGCATTGTGACAGTTTTTCTGCTATAAACCGTTGTTAAGTCGTATATTTCAATTTTCTGTTCCTCTTAATTTTGTTTATATCTGTTTGATACAAACATATTTTAATATATATGATATGAAAACTTCCGTAATATTTTTTTAATAAAAAAATAAGTGTTTTAATACGGTTTTAGGGTTCAAGGGTTTTTAGGGTGTCACTGTCAACGGAACCCTATTACAAAACCTCTGTCCGTTCGTCCGTCCGTCTGTCAGAGGGCTGTATCTCATGAACCGTAAGAGTTAGAGAGTTGAATTTTTCACAGAGTATGTATTTCTATTGCCGCTATAACAACAAATAATAAAAATAAATGAAAATAAAATATAAGAAACATTTTTTTAACGTTCGTAATCGATCATCGTAGTTATCGGTCCAGCCATTTCTGAGTTTTAGTGAGACTAACGAACAGCAATTGATTTATACTAACTACAAAACGAGAAACAAATAATGTACTTATGAAGATATAAATTATGATTATGTTAATATTTGGTTTGTCGTAAAGCAAATGTTAATTTGAACAGCAGGTGCTTTACAAATTGTCGTCTTAAAAAGAATTCGAAGTCATCAGTTATTATGAAGTGTAAAAAAAATACTATTTGATTGGTAGACGAAAAGAACGTAATGACTAACAATATGTTCTCTATGCTTTTAAGGTAAATTGTATGTTAGATTAGTCCTTAATTTACATCCATCTATAAAGTTAAAAGAAGAATCCGTACCGAAAGTAAAAAAACAATCTATACATATAAATAACATTGAAGTGTCTGTTTGTAATATCAAAATAACAGCTTATTACTAAATGCATATGGTATTATATACGGTATTCATAAGAAAAACACAACTTTTACAATTTTTGTCTGTCTGCCTGTCTGTTTGTTCCGGCTAATCTCCGAAATGGCTTGACCAATTTTAATGGATTTTCACTTGCAGATAGCTAATGTTATAAGGAGTAACCTAGGCTACTTTTATTTTTGTAAAAGAATTGATCATAAAGAAGCACAAAAAAATTAAAACGTACCTAGAGACGCACACGAAGCCAGGCCTTAGGCTAAGTCGCTTGTCAAGAATAAGCTTAACAAAAATGAAAAATATGTATATATTATATAAAACTTTCACTGGCGGATGCACTCGAGTAATTTATCGACTTCTATTACTTAGGTTAACGACTGCTGTCAGTATGTTATTCGAATATATATATATATATATATATATATATATATATAGTCAGTCAGTATATATATATATAGAGTAAAAAAAAAAGGTCAATAAGGTACATACAAACAGACGTAACTTTTTAATTCAAAATAAACTTAAACTTGATTCATGTTTATCAAAATCGTGACTGACTATTTATTTAGAATAATAATAAAATACTAAACTCGAATGGGAGATGTTTTAACACTAATACTGGCGACATACCTTCACTATTTTTCATATACGAATTTGATAGCACTTATTTCAAACAAATTTTCTGTGTGGCGCATATTTTTTTATATTTATGCTCAAAAACCTTATGTTATTCTCAAATAAAAACTAAAAGAAATATAACTCTAACAAATATTTATAATTACAATAAATATGTACCAATTGATTCCTTATAAACAATCTTGCTCTGCGTTTAAATGAAAAATTAACTTGTTCAAATGAAAAAACTAATATCTTCCGCTAAGTAAATAAAATTCTAAAGTGTATTTTGTGATTTTTTGAAAACGGATCAGGAAACAGTGCACGTGAGACGAGCCTTAACGTATTATTCTGGTGGTAATGTTCCAAAGCTACAACTAACACAATGTAGTTGTAAGTTGTCGTTCTACGAGTAGACCCCCTAAATGCAGTAAATATTGCCATACATCGATAAAGTCGTAGCGTACAAGTCAGTTCTTCGAAAGGTCCAAAGTTTATTTCTGTCGCAATCTTGTGTATAACTTTTATTTGTTGTTCAACCAACTTTGAAAAATAGAACTCTCTCTTTTTCCCTTGTATGTTTATATTTGTACGATTTTATAAGAAATTACGTTATAAATCATTTTAGTCTAAAATTAACAATATATTATTGAATAAGCCTTATTACTCCGTTACGGAATACTTTGTGGATTTCAATGTATGGGACTTATAATTTTTTGCCGGCTCATCTCAGCAGAACTGCCTTGCGAGCTGACGGTAGACTCCTCATGGACTTACATACTGACAGTTAATTTAAATTTTAATATTGTAAAAAGTGACGATTTATAAGTGCTTTTAAAAGTATATTTGAATCTTACTAATACTCGTATTATAAATGTGAAAGTTTAGATGGATGTTTGCATGTTTGTTACTCAATCACGCCAGAACGGCTGAGTAGATCTAGATGAGATTTGACACAGCAATAGATAATAGTCTGGAATAGCACATAAGTTACTTTTTATCCCGGAAAAATGTACAGTTCCCGTGGGATAGATTAGTTGTCACTTTTCGAAGTATATTTTGATTGGATTCAAAATGTATGATTGTATTTGAGATTGATGCAATATATCATTTATACATATTATGTAAATAACGTTGCACAATCAACGCGGTTTATATAGCTAATATATTATGTATATTTAATATTTATTTAATACAAAATAAATATCCAACTAATATATTTATCATACAGATTTCCACACAGAATTTCTTCAATATCTATACATCACTATGTACATATTATTAAAATAATAAAATTCCTCCGCCGCGTCTGTCTGTCTGTGTGAACGCGATAAACTCAAAAAATACCGAACAAATTTTCATACAACTTTCAACAATAGACTAAGTAATAAGGAAAGTTTAGGTGTATAGATCATTAAGGTTTTGTGTAAATGCGCTGAAACATGATAATGATTCTTGAAGATCTCAAAAAAAAATTATGCCGACTGGGTGCTTTATTGGCGTGCGTCGTGAAAACCAATAAAGTTATATGAAAACAATGTGTTACGGAATTATTCAACCTAAAAAGACCTATTAAACTGTACTAGCACTATATGTACGTACCTAGGGATACACCCGAGCAAAGTAAGGGTAAGTCACTAGTTTCATCTAAAGTAGAAAATCATCATTTATATCTTATATCCATTTTCATGTTACATTATTCAGTAAATCATGTTCAATCAGCACACTTTAAAGTCATAAAACAAATAATAGAAGTAAATTTTTTTTTTTTTTAATCTATTTTTATTTAGGGACTTCTTAGCAACAAAGCTAAATGTCAGTCCCATCGTTCCCTTAAGACATGTATACCACTAATAATACTAGTACCTCTAATTATAACTTATTTTAACTTAAATTGATATACAGTTTTGGCTATCTCTGAGTTAGGTTTAGACAGTGCGCTTTGAAAAACTCCCACATCATTCCAGCAAACGTTAAAACGGCGCATCAACTCCTGTCTCCTATCCGCGTTACGAACACATTCCACTAAGAAATGATGCACATCTTCCTCTACACCGCATAAATCACAATTTGGAGAATTAGATTTTTTCATTAGAAACATAAATCTGTTAAGTGGAACGTGTCCCGAACGCAGCCTAAGAGCCATAACAATTTGTTGACGCGTCAACCCTGAGTCGCAGAACCACGGGATACGAGGAGGCTCACTTTGTATAGTCTTATACCATATTCCCTTAAGTTTTGATCTTTCGTCAAAGTACTCTTTAAAGCGGTTTACACATTCTTGTTTATATTTAACTAAAAAATCAGAATAATTTGGTCTTAAATTTATAACTTTCCCTACGAGAGGAGCTTGTTTTGCAAGAATATCAGCCTCCTCGTTTCCCGTTAGTCCAATGTGAGAGGGAATCCATTGCAATTTTAAAGACTTTCCGATAGATTGTATTTTAGTTAATTCATGTAAAATTTTGTAGGCTACAGATACTCCCCTTGTTCCTCTTACGCAACTTATAAGATGCAGTATAGCACTTTCGCTGTCTGTAAAAATCACAATGTTATCTCTATACACATCTCTAGAATAACGTAAAGCCTCCAAAATTGCAACAAGCTCCACAGTCATTATTGATGTATTAGCAGTTATTTTAAACATTTTATTAACGTTACAATTTGGATCGTACAAAGAACAGCCAACGTTTGTTTTATCTTTAGATCCATCAGTATACAGATAATACCAGCCAAAATAATTATTATGTATTTCCTGTATAATTTCTTGTCTTAATATATTAATATCGTAACTATTTTTAGATCTTTTTATACACTTTAATTTGGAGTTGCATACATTTTTAATATTAATATTTGACATCCATGTATCTAAATTAAACATCTCTGAAGTGCTAGATGAGCTGACATTTTCATTTTTTGTTTCCAGATATGTAACGCTTAATAAAGGCTTCTTTTTATTATTCCAATACCTTTTACCCAAAGATAAACTCAAATCAGATATACATTTTAAAGTTTCATTTTCAGACCATGACTGACATTTTAAGCAAAATTTCATAGCTAGATATAGCCTTCTTATATAAAGAGGTGGCAAACAGAGGTCACTCTCCATCACATGAATAGGAGTAGACCTAATATATCCTCCAATAATACGCATAGCTTGGTTTTGTATTTTATCTAGCTTGCATAAGTGAACATTAGCACTATTGTTATATAAAAACGAGCCATAGTCCATTCTACTTCTTATCATAGATGTGTACACTGTACGCAAATGCTGTGGATGTATCCCCCATCCAGGACCGGCTAGTGCCTTAAGCAGTTGTAAAAACCTTTTAGTTTTTGAACATATTTCATTTATGTGTGCTCCCCACCTAAGAGACCTATCCAAATAAAAGCCTAAATATCTAATACATTCGACAGTCTCCAAGTTCAATCCATTAATAGTAATATTTATATTATGTTTACAATGTCCTCTACTAAAAACACATATTTTAGATTTAGTATCCGATAGCTGTAAGCCTAATTTATCCAATAAGTTAATTAAAATATATAAAGCATTTTGTAAATTTAAAATAGTATCTTGAATCTTTGGAAGACTAGAATATAAAACAATATCATCAGCATATTGACTTAAAAAAACATTCTGAATGGACCGAGATATTTCTATTGTAACAACATTAGATAACAAAGGGGATAGTGGGTCTCCTTGAGCCAGACCTTTACTTGTCCATCTCTCATAAAAGGAGTTATCCTTATCACATCTTATTCTTAAATGTCTTTCATTTAAAAAATGCCACAAGTACTTGCAAATCAAAGATCCGCCTTCATAGTTATCCAAGGTAATTACAATATTTTCAATAAGAACATTGTTATAAGCTCCTTCTATATCTAAGAAACAACCCACAGTTTGAAGATTATTTGTGAAGCCTAATTGAATATGAGTGATTAGGCGAGTTAAGTTATCCAGACACGATTGTCCCTTTCTAAAGCCCGTTGTTCTTGGCGAAAAAAAATGGTTTCTTTCAAAGTGCCATTCCAAACGTTTATTAATCATGTTGTGAAATGTTTTAGTTACGCATGATATAAGGGAAATAGGTCTTAATTTACCATTATTGTCTCCAGGCTTAGGAATGGCTACAATCTGTACTATCTTCCATTGTTTTGGGACATAACTGGAGCTAAATATAAGATTGAACAATTTTAATAAATAACGCTTGGCAATACTGGGTAAATTAACTAACATCGAGTAAGAGATATTGTCATCTCCAGGAGAACTATTTTTTTGTTTTAAAGTATTGTCCAATTCGGAGTACGTAAATGGAGATTCTAATGCTTCATTTTTTGATCTTAATAATGGTATGTTAGGCAATACAAAGTCGGGAGCCAATGACTCTAATAATGTCTGTTTTCTCTCATCTGATGTACAAATTTTATCCCTTCTCAAGCCTTTCATCCATTGCATCTTACGCCACATATCCATTACAGTTGTATTTTCATCGATATCACTACAAAAAGAATGCCAACTCTCAGACTCAACTTTAACTATTAACATTCGGGCCTCAGTTACTTTTTGCTCTAATATATCTAGATTATGAGGGGTTGGATTTCTTCTAAGATTTTTAAGTGCTAACCTCCTCTCAGCAACTATTTTAGATAATGTTTGATTCCAAAAAGGTTTGGGAACAAATTTTTGATCTAAATTATTACAGTACTTTATATATGGTATTGCTTTATCCGCAGCTAAATTTATTCGCTGAATGAACTTATCATACATAATTTGAATATCATTTGTTTCAAAATCAAATTCATTAAATTCTTTTTCTAATATATTTTTGTATTCTATCCAATTAGCATTTTTATAGTTCCTTTTTTTAGTAAACGATAACTTATCTTTATAACGGAGAGTATACTTTAACATTAAATGATCGCTGCCTAAATTTTCATTAATAGTTGTCCAATCTAAATTCATAGCTATATCTGTAGAGCAAAAAGTAATATCTGGTGCCGATTGTTGTAGTGATCCGTTAACAAATTTAACTCTGGTATAGCTTTTATCGTTAATAGATATAAAACCATACTGTAGTGAGCTGTCGAACAATTGATTTCCTCTAGAGTCTATTTTATCAGACCAACTTGTATGTTGTCCATTAAAATCTCCCGCGATTATAGTACACTTGGAAAATAAAGAAAATAAGCTATCCCAATTGGCTTGACTTGTATTAACACTAGAGGGGCAATAGACAGAAACTATATTTTTCAACAATTTACAGTTCATAATTTTAACATGCACTAATTCAATACCAATATTATTAACATTAATAGAACTTTTAAAGGTTTTAAGAGACTTATGTGTAATAATTGCTACACCCCCATATGAGTCAACCCTATCACGTCTATAAACGTTATATTGACTAATATTTAAATTTGAGCCTTGCTGTAACCATGTTTCACTTACTATGGCGATATGTATATTTTCTCTATAAAGTAGAGCTTTAAACTCTGTCAGTTTCGGCCTTAAGCTTTGAGAATTCCACTGTAAAATATTTACAGAGAAATCCTTTATCCTTATATTATCCATCAAAGAAGGATAACATTCTCTTAATCACTTCACCTACTTTTCTCAACGATGGAAATGAGATACAAATTTCTTCTATCACTAAGTAGAATGCATCACATATCTTTTCTTTAAAGTCTCTCTTCGATAGAATAATTTCTTTCAGCTTCCTGAAAAAATCTTTAAATTTATTTAAATTGTCTTTCTCTACATCCTGGTTATTGTTCAATTCTATAGAGGATGCTGACTTCTCGGTGTGTAGATAATTAGTGTCGTCAGTATTTACATTTTGAACTATAATTGAATTCTTTTTTCTATTCTCTTTTTTTTTATTACCTCGTGAACTACATGGATTCTTTGAATAACCTTCAGTATCATCATCATTCATTCCTTCTACATCATTTGACATATCTTCGTGCTCCTCAATACTTGGCATTTGTTTTGTTGTAATTAAAACATCTCTATATGATCTAGTCTCTAAAATCTTATTTGTATTAACTAAGACACTGTTATGCAAATCATTTTGTATTTCTTGTGTTTCTGTCAATCCCACTTCCTTACTTGTATGCTGACAGTAAAATTCAAGAGCCTTTTTGTAAGTAAGACTATTCTGACACATTATTTCCCTAATCTTCTTTTCTTTTACAAACATAGGACAATTTTTATCCAGAGCCATGTGGGGTCCTTTGCAATTTAAACAAATAAAATCTTTAGACTCACAGTTTTCATGGTCTTGTCCACATTTTGGGCATATGATTTTTTTCGTTGGGCAAGATCTACTCAAATGTCCGAACTTCCAACACCCAGAACATTGTGACACTGGAAATGTGTATGGCTCAACCTTAAACCGACACCCGTATCCTAAAATATACGGGGGTAAGGTAGAACTCTTAAAGCCCAACCGAACTGTTGTACTTAAAACCCATTCATTTTTATCATTTAGTCTCCGCAACCTCCTCATGCTTACAATTTGAGAATCACAATAAAAATTGTCCAATATTTCCTTTTCTTCCGTCTCTAAGTCTACATCTTTAACAACACCGTAAATAATTTGAACTTCACTGGTCGATTGACATCTGTACTCTAATTCCACCAATTTTTGGCAATTTATTAGTTGGTCAGCATCATTTTTATTACTAAATCTTAAAAATGCCTTGTAGGGACCTTTGAATTTAATACTAAATATGTTATTAATGTTTAATGATTTCATTAACTTAGCCATACCTATTTGTTTAGGTAAGGCCTGTTTGGAAGATAAGCACACTTCATATATTTCATCATTGCTAGACAAACTTCTATGTATGCGTTTACTCCGTCTCTGTACCGTAATAAACTCTTCATTTTCATTTTCCGTGTCGTCACTGTTTTGTCTTTGTCTTTTCTCCACAGGGCGGGATTCCGCCATACTTGTTGCCAATACTTCCTTTTCCACTAGTTGCTCACAATTATCACTATTCAATATGGTCTCCTCTTCAACATCACTTGAACACAATAAAATTATGTTACTTTCGTTAAATTCATCCATTATCGCAATATTCCAACATGGGGGTAGAATTACAAAAATAAAACGATAAGATACTATTGACGCTTGAATAGACTGCCAACGAACCGTGCACTAGCGACGGATATCGGCGCGCGAATGAGAAGTAAATTAAGCATCTATCGTAAAATACACTATAAATATTTATTTAACACATAAGCGAATGTCTCAGATGGACTGAAAGTGCAATTTTAGCGAATGTATGGGATAGACAGCAATAAAGTGACTCATTTGAATGGATGGCATTATAAAATCAAAACCCTTTGAAAACTTTGAAAGAGAACGAATATGTTGACTCCCACGCGTTATGTAAGGTGACAAGGAACGTCTGGATTTGAAAATTAAATATTTTTACTTATCTCGTTTCATTAATACACTTGCAACGAATATGCCTAAGTGCATTAGGTATACAAAATATTGTTTTTGGATAACATTTTGCTTAATATAACGATACACAAGTAAAAATATTGCAACTCAGTTTAATAGTAGGTACTTGTAGATATTTAAAACGTGGACTTTAAATATATGAAAAAATCATTTTTAGGGTTCCGTATGCGAAGCGTGCCAACGGAACCTTATTTACTATGCCTCCATTCAGTATCCGTCCGTCCGTCCGTCTATCAAAGGGCTGTATCTCAAGAACCGTAATAGGTAGAGTTGATTTTTTTGCAGAGTAGTATTTTTATTGACGCTAAAACAACAAATAATAAAAATAGATAAAAATACAAGAATAATTTTTTTAACGTTCGTAATCGATCATCGAAGTTAATATACTACATACATAGAGTAAAAGTCACCTTAATAAAAAGTACATGTACGATGGTATGGAACATTTCGTGTGCGAATTCGACTCGCACTTGACCGATTTTAATATTATTATTTTCGAAGTTGAATAATTTATCTCAAAACTGACGTATAATATATTGCTTGCGTAACTCAATTTTGGGTCTAATCCTACAATCAAACACTAATAATTTTGGTAGACTTTAACAGATAAAATAAATTTATTTTTAATAATTAAATATATTTCAATTATACGTAAGCTCAGAAAATTTAAAAAAATGAAAAAAAAAACACGAGAGCTTTTTACTATTCACTAACATAGTTAACTATTAAATACTTGACGACACGTTTGGCTCAGTTAGTTTGTTGTTACTTGCTGTGCCAGCGGTCGCGGGTTCGAGTCCCGCTGGGGGCATTCATTTGTGTGATGCGCAGGAATGTTTTTATTCCAGTCATGGGTGTTTATATTTATAATATGTATGTATTTAAAGTTATATATGTGTAGTGTATCAACTATCTGGTATCCATAACACAAGCCTCGTACCTTACCATGGAACTAGATTGTGCTATGTGTTAATGTTCCAACATATTACAAAAAATAACATAGTGTCTAAATGAACTATCGCATTCCCACAGGCAGAGCTGCAATATTCCACTAGTGCTAAGCAGCTAATGTTAATAGATACAATTATTCAATCTCCGTCAATTTTAGCACCTGCATTATTAAAAGCCTTTCTTCTGAAGGTAAAATCTTGTTCAGTTAAAAGGCATCTATCGTTTATTAGCAATAATTCTTTAACGTCGTTACCGGAGCCGACGTAATTGCATTCGATACATCCCTACCGGACATTTGAACCGTCTTATAGTCTAAGAGACAGCTGGTGTATACCTTTCCTGTATATTAATTTTGCATATTGTTTCCAAAATTGTTTTTTAAAGTTATAGTTTTTTTTATGGTTTATGTCTTTTTTTAATATGTTGGGATATCAACACACAGCACCATCTAATTCCATGGTAAGCTACAAGGCTTGTGTTATGGATACTAGATAGTTGATACACTACACATATATAACTTTAAATAAATATAAATTAATACATTGTAAATATAAACACCCATACAAACATCCAAATACATATAATACATTATAAAAATAAACACCCATGATTGGAGTACAAACAATCGTCTCATCACACAAATGAATACCCACAGCAGGACTCGAACATGCGACCGCTGGCACAGTAAAGGTGCGTTATTTAAATCTTTTTTATTTATATCTTTTTTTAAGTGCAACTTTTGAAATCTCGAAAAATCGAAATTATGTTTTTTGTTGTATACAAGTACCTACTTCTTATTGCACGCGGTTTTTCCTTATATAAACTCAGTTAATTCGTAAACAACGAATATGGATACAATACATACATAATACGGAGACAAAAGCAGCTTCACTGTATGAAAAACACAATATACCAATATATTTCTGAAGGCTCTACACTATGTCTACTTTGTACTAACATATTAGTAGTAAAAATAATTTTAACTTATTACTAATAATTTTAAGTGTTTTCCAAAGAACTTATTGAGTGAGCTTAAAGCTCTGGTTTATTATAATTGTAATATATATTGTTCTTTAAGCTATTATCTCGAATCCCTTTTAGGTTACCGACTTCATTTAAGTGTTCATATTTTTCTTGTACCTATAATGATTTTTTAACTGAAAAGCGTCTATTTTTAATTGTTTGGTGTACAATTATTATGTAATATGTACTAATGTATATTTTTTGCTTTCTTCAACTGTATAAAAACTTTTTATTTAAGCTTTTAAATTTAAGAAATATTTAAGAAAATGTAACTTCAAAATTAAAGAAGCATTTACGAATTAAATTTGTAATATCTGCCGTATTCAACATTTTTACAAGCAGTTTTAGTCTGACAAATTAAAAAAAATCATTAAATAGCTCACTATCTCAAATTTTCGTAGCACAAACGAAGAATTCCGCAATCTCCTGGCTGCATCATCAGATCAGCTCAATATCAAAATTATTATAATTTCAGCCACTTAACACCTCCAGGTAAATTTCTAAGAAACTAATTACATTTTTAAGAAATCTATTGTTAACTGTAACGCCGGCGTGTCCGCGGTCGTTGAGGGATTAGCATACTAAAAGAACTATGTTAGAACACAGCCAATTTAAAACTCAAAACTTTGCTGGATCGGTTAAAAAGCTCTTTACCCTGTCTATAAAAACCTATGGTGTTAAAGAGATGTGCTATGATAAATTCTCTTACACTCTAAGCACTTCCGTCTATTTAAATTAATTTAGTACTTCAATTATTAATGCCATTAACACTGCTACTACGAGTGTAACTATATCTTTATAGATGACTAGCATTGCCCGCGGCTCGGCACAAGTTCAGATGACCAAAAAGAAAATTCTTAGGTTTCATATATTAGTTTACTCTTAAAATGCAGTCTTTGTATTTTTTCTTAGCAATGAGACATTTTCACGCGGTAAAAAGTATTCTATATGTTGACCCGGATAACCAGCTATCATCATATTAAGTTTCATCAAAATCTGTCCAGTAGTTTTCTCGTGATGCGGTAACATACAGACAGACAAACAGACAAACAAAAATTCTAAAAACTATAGATTCGGCCTCTGTATCGATAATAATATCTATTTCAATAAGATTTTCCAAAAAATATTTAATGTACAGATTCGATTTAGTTACAATTTTATTATATGTATAGATAATTGCTAATGGCGAATAGTTTTACGAACATTATAACTTTCCTATATACAGAGTTCATTCGATTATCGATATTAGTCTTCGCATGTGGTTCGATTTGCTTTGCATTTTTAAACAAATAACCTATGTATTACACAGAAAAAGTGTAGCATGGGTGTTTAGGTAATGATGACGTGCGAAATATTTGCTTTCAATTTTCATAATATTAGGATGAATAATCAGATTTATATAATACTAGCGAATCACCCTCGCTTCGCTCGGTTTCGTCCCTAGGTTGATTCTTCATACAAATTTTCATCCCCGTTTTTACCCTCTTAAGGAATGATTTTCGGAATAAAAACTATTTTTTGTCCTTTCCAGGGTCTCAAACTATTTTCTTACCAAATTTCATTTAAATCGGTCCAGTAGTTTTTGAGTATATTCGTTACAAACATACAAAAATACAAATCTTTCCTCTTTATAATAGTAGTGTTGAAATACGATAGATTTTATGTGTATGTATGTCAATCCACGCTAAAACGGCTAGACGTATCTGGATAAAATTTGCACATAGATAGACTATGACCTAGAACAACACATAGGCTACAGCTAGTAATAAAACTTGGTGGCGCTGCCTTTATAATAAAACTTATAAGTTTTGCCTGTGTTATGTTACGATAATGCTATATGATCGCGGTCATTCAACTATACACCTAGGTCAGTTACGCTTGGAGGTGCTACGTAGGTCGGGTGCAAGTTCAAGGTGCGATCTGATTCGTATTTAATAAATTATGCACTATATTCATATAAAATGCACATTATTATAATTAATACTCGGTTATTCAAATTTTATTGTAATATAAAGTAAATCGTGTTTTATTTTTGTTCATTTAAGTCATTTATTGTCAATTAAAAGATTGCCAGATTTAAATAATTTAACCACGAAATAATCAGTTTTAATACGAAACTATAATATACTATAGTAGGTACTTATTTCTTAAATACATAGATGATATATAATAATGGTAAAGAAGAACAATAAATAAAAATAACGTTATGTTATTCATCAAGCTTTTTCCAATTTTTATTTATATATTACTAGCAGAACCCGCGGCTTCGCTCGCGCTGAAACTACATAAAAATGTCTAAAAAGGTAGTTTCATACAAACTTTCACTCCCTATTTTACCCTATTAATATTAATTCATTATTAATAATCCCCTAAAACACGTATTTATTTAATTTTATTGAAGAACATAAAGCAAGTTTCAAGTAATTCTGACCATAAATGTTTTATTGGATTGTATTGTAACGTGTTTTCCCGTGGAAATTAGATAATCTCCCGGGTTAAAAAGTAGCCTATGTCACTTTCCAGCGCAAAAAAAATACGCTAATCCGTCAATCCGTTTCGACGTGAAAGAAGGACAGACACACAAACAAACAAACACACTTTCACATTTATAATATTTGTGTTGTATATAATCAAGTTGCACGTATACTAATCAACATTTTTTTAATTCTATATACATTTTAAAGACTTATTTATTTATATACTAGAGATCCTCGTTCACTCGGGTTCATCCCTACATACGTTTTAACGGTTATTATGG